GTTTAATTGGGAGCACCAAAGTGTTTTATTAAATTTGAGAGTATTATTGTAAAATTTCAAATTTCTGGGAGTATTTATATCAATTTTTCCTAAAATAAAACATTCTTGTCACCACTTATTTTGTTGAACTTTTGACGTAGTTTTTAAATATGCATGTTTTATTTTTTATTTCTATGCCAATATTTAAATAAAATAGATTGAAAAAACTTGGGATTTTTCTTCGTTTTGCGAACCGAGAAGAAAGTTTTAGGACAGAGGGAGTAGAAAATAAGGAAGGAAAAGAATCAAGTGCAAATATGGAATTTCACACTTTAAATGGAATTGGATCTGCAGCCAGTGCTTTACTCTGCATTCCGCGTCAGCCACAACCCAGGAATTCAACGGAGGTCGCCATTGCAAGCTCGCCGGAGGTCGTCGCTGGCCTGGAGGGAGCTGGGCTGCAATTTCTAGTTTCGGCTTCTGGTGTGGATGTTGACAATAGTCAGCTGTGCAGGTCTGGAGCAGGGACTGTTGGTCGCCGGTCCGTCCGTCGCCGCTATTGAGGGTCGCCGGCGAGGATGTTGGCTTCCGTCGATGATGAGGCTGCTGGCTGCTGCTGTGCGTCCAATCTCAATCGAAAATCAAAGCTCTAGTCTGGGTCCAGGTAAGAAATTGGGTCGCCAATCTCTATCTCTATCTCTATATCTACTAATATAAAGGGAGAAAATGAACAGTAACATTTCCCTTTCAAAGCTACAGTGGAAAATGAACTGTTTGGTCACATCGATTGGAGAGAGCTATGGGGGAAGTAATCAGTATGAAAAAGCTACAGTGGAAAATGAACTGTTCAGTCGCATCGATTGGAGAGAGCTTATGGGGAAAGTAATCAGTATAAAAAAGCTACAATGGAAAATGAACTGTTCGGTCGCATCGATTGGAGAGAGCTTATGGGGAAAGTAATCCGTATAAAAAGAAAAGCAATATTGGGAGAAGCTAAACCGCCATTTAAAAAGAAAAATACGGAGTATCATTGACACACATATAAGTACGTGAAATATTAAAATGCTTAATTCTATTATGGAATAATGTGAAATCGAGCAAACTTGTAGAATTCCCCTTGAGCTTTATCAGGACTATTAGTATTGGCAAGGAGATGCTTAGGGGAAATACTCAGGTAAAGATGGGTATAGATGGCTTATGTGTGAGGCAAATCACACGTTTAGGTTTATCAATTGGGGGCGTTAACAAGATATTCCTTTTGAGCCAAAGGTTAAAGTTTATATTTAGAGAGAGTTTAAAGGTTTTTTGCCTACTATCAAGGCTCTTAAACGCAATGGGATAAAAATGGATAATTAGTTCCCTATTTCCTGTAAATTTGGGAAGTTCCTGGATCATATCTTTTGTGTTTTCCTTTTACGGATATGGTTTGGATTCTTATTGGAAAGGGGGTGGTTGGGAGGGGGTTGGCTCTTTTGCAACCTAGTTCTAAGCCTCCTCATTCACACTTTCGCTGAAGAGATTGCAAATATTGGCATGGAATATTTGGGCTATCTGGATGGATAGGAATAAGGTACAGTGGGATCGACAGGTTCCTCCGCCAAAGGCAACGAAGTAGATGGTGATAAATATGAGTCAGAGCTGGTTGGATTATGCGTAGCAAGAGGTGCCACAACAAGAGAAAGGATGAAAGTTGATGGGATCTTTGGCTATGGGATGTTGGGTTTGGGTGTACTTTAATTGGCTATGATTGCTCTATTCAAGCGGCATTTATCGAACACCTCCAATGTTCTCAAGACATTATCATGTCTGAGAAGTTTGCTAGGAAAGAACTTTCTTGGCTTAAGATGAGAGGGGTTCGTGATGTTGAGCTGTTTTCGGATTCGTTGAGGGTGGTCCGAGCCATTCAACACGGGACTCGTACTTCTGCATCTTATCTTGGAGTTTTAGTTGAGGATTTCTTTATTATTATGTTTGGTCAAATTTGAATCATTAATTGTTTGTTTGATATGGATATGAGTAAGTAGTGGATGTCTTCGGTTCGGTTTGTAAGTTGTGAGCCTAATTTAATGTGTTGAAGCATGATATTGTGCAAATTTAGTGGGTTCATGAGTAGTAGGTTAGATGAGCATGTTTTCAATGATGATTCATGCTATTTTATTTAAACTGAATGAATTAAGTAAGCACAATCATTAATGGTGTTCTGACCTCTTGAGTGTAAACTGAATGAATTAAGTAAGCACAATCATTGCAAATAGAGGTAAATCCAACTCTCTAACATTGGGTTTAGGTCAAGTAGTTAATGATCTCTACCCTTTGGTCTTCTAATCTTTTTTCATTATAAAATCTTGCTTCAGTTGCTTGCAAGGTTGTAGTGAGATCTCGAGTGCTTATTTTATTTTAATGAAATCATTTTAATTAAACTTTTGAATTTGTGTAGGGGTTGTTAGAGGGGAAAGGGTTAGGTGTAGAACTAGTTCTAGACTTAGCTATTCAGTATGAACAAGTGGAGTAATTCACTAGCTTGAGTTGCCCGGTATTCACATACTTAGCTAATGATCAGAACTTAAGGTTCATAAAATCACTTTTCTTAATTACAAAACAAGGTTTGAGTTTCAAGTTGTGTGATTTCAATCTTTGGTGTTTGACATTATTAGTTCTCTTTTTTGATTCCTTACTTTTAGTTATAGTTTCCTGCTGTTTGTTTATTTCAAAAAAATCAAACCAACCCCCCATGTGTGTGCGTTTGTGTTTGTGATCTTGCTTAGCTAAAATCGCACGTTTAGGCTTACCAATTGGGGGGGGGGAGGTCAGTTACAGGATATTCCTGTTGAGCCAAAGGTTAAAATTTATATTTAAAGAGTGCTTCAAGGCATTTTGCCTACTATCGAAGCTCTTAATAGCAAGGGGATAGAGATGAATAATCAAATGCCCTATTTGTTGTNTTTTCTTAATTAAAAAACAAGGTTTGAGTTTCAAGTTGTGTGATTTCAATCTTTGGTGTTTGACATTATTAGTTCTCTTTTTTTGATTACTTGCTTTTAGTTATAGTTTCCTGCTGTTTGTTTATTTCAAAAAAATCAAACCAACCCCCCATGTGTGTGCGTTTGTGTTTGTGATCTTGCTTAGCTAAAATCGCACGTTTAGGCTTACCAATTGGGGGGGGGGAGGTCAGTTACAGGATATTCCTGTTGAGCCAAAGGTTAAAATTTATATTTAAAGAGTGCTTCAAGGCATTTTGCCTACTATCGAAGCTCTTAATAGCAAGGGGATAGAGATGAATAATCAATGCCCTATTTGTTGTAAAGTAAGGGAGTTCGTGGATCATATCTTTTGTGTTGTTCTTTTACAGATATTGTATGGACGCTTGTTGGAAGGGGGGGGGGGGGGAGAGGGGGTTGGATCTTTTTCAACCTGGTTCCAAGCCTCCTCATTAACACTTTCATCGAAGAGATTGCAAATATTGGCATGAAATATTTAGGCTTTCTGGATGGTGAGGAATAAGGTAACGTGGGATCTACAGATTCCTCTACAAAGGCAACAAAGCAGATGGTGCTACATATGAGTCATAGCTGGTTGGACTATGAGTTGCAAGAGGTGCCACATCAAGAAAAATGATGAAAGTTGATGGGATCTTTGGCCATGGGATGTTGGGTTTGGGTATATTTTAATTGGCTATGATTACTCTTTTCAGTCGACATTTAACTAATACCTTCAATGTTCTCAAGACACCTAGAAAAAAAGCTTTCTTCGCTTAAATAAGAGGGGTCCTTGATGTTGAGCTATTTCCGGATCTATTGAGGGTGGTCTAAGCCATTCAACATAGGACTCATACTTCTGCATCTTATCTTGGAGTTTTAGTTGAGGATTGCTTTAATATTATGTTTTTGTTTGATTGTATCTTTTTGTTTTTTGTTCGATGTGATTTGAGTGAGGTAGCCCATTCTCTAGCCAGACATGCCAAGGACCAATCTAGTTCATGGGAGCTAAATCATCAATAATTACTACCAAAAAATGGTGAGCTCAACACTTAATTACTACCAAAAATGGTTCTAATTAATGAAATCATCAATGATTCAAAATTAAAATCATAAGACAATAACGCACCAGCTTATTAAGACCTGTTAAGGCTTGTCGAAGGCCTACAAATTAAAACCTTACTTTCTTCTTATTTTATTTTATTTTTTTAAAATTATTTTGTAAATAGGATAAGCAAGGATCGATCCCACAGAGAGATTACTATTTTTCAAACTCAGCTACCGTAAAATACTTCTTACTTTAAAGATGAAATAACTCACTCACACGGGGGGAGGGGGTTTGGTTGTAAAATTAACTTACTTGAAGACTAAAAATTTGAAGAACTAGCTAGAAAGATTTTTTTAATTTTTTTTAAAGAAGTAAAATACCAAATAGCCAATAAAATAAAGTAGAAAAGAGATCTTTTTTTATAGGAATATAAAAGTTGTCTTGGTTTAATTCTGAATTTTCAATGATTGTTTTGCAAAATCATTAACTCGAGTACGTCTTTAATCACTTGTGGACTAGACTGTAGAAGGTTATCCACCTGCAGGTCTTCCCTACTTTTTCTTTCTGTTTAGACTAGATTAAGACCCGCCCTAATCTAAATCCCTATCAAAACAACAACCCCAAGACCTACTTTGGAATTTAATTGAGTTTGATGCAATAAACAATAAAAAAGCTTCACCTAGAATCTTGTAAAAGTTCCACCTGCGGACCTATTTAACAAGACTAATTGAAAATTCTAAATAATCACATTCAAGTAAAACTTGAACTCAATCAAATAGTTGACACTTGATTCATAAAACATAAGCTTTTTCATAGTCTAGGTTTATAAATTGTCAATTTTGGAATAAAATTAAACAAATAAGCTGCGCAATCTTACTCAAATAATCTACCCCAAATATTAAATTAGATCCATTTTCAATCACCACAAGTAATTAAAAATCAATTAAGCGCAAAACAGTTTCATTTGTTTAACAAATCATTGTTAATCCATTATTAAATCAAGACAATTGAATTTACTCAAGCATGATGTAGAATTGTGAAACACCCAGCATAGCAAATGAAGATTGAAACATTGAGATATTTAAAGCAGCTCAAGCACTTCCAATGGTTCTAAACGGAATTGCAAAATTGTAGATGCCAACAACAGTAAGCAATTAATCCAAGAAAAACTAAATCATAAGGGATAAAGTCTATACTCTCGTAATTAATTTGAAGTGCTTAGACTGGTGTGTGCGACTTGTGGTGCGCTACTGTCAAGATGCGTCACCTAGTTCCTGGAGTGCAGCGTCCGAGAGCTGGAGTGCTATGCTGTTTCTCTCGGCTAGGGTTTCGGATTTGGAGTTGTGTGTGGATTGCAGAGTTCTTCTCCGTGATGCTAAGAGAGATTCTTCCGATCTGGACTCTGATGAAACTTGCGATCCGGATTTCTCGTTGTAGGCGGAAGAATGGCGCAAGTGCCGTCTCATTTCTTCGTTACCGGATCCCTCTTTTCTCTCAACTATTTTGGAGTGTGCACTAAGTTTCTTGCGTTGGGAATCCTAATAGAAGAAAAACAACATTTAGACTTGATAAAAGATAATCAATTAACAATAGATTTTTTTAGATAATAAATACTCCGAATATATTAACCCCAACTCACACATTTATTGTAAATAATCCCTTGTAGGTAAAAAGGTGGAGTTTAAAGAGCACTAATTAAATGATACTACAAAACTTGACCAAAAAATACCCATTTTTCATATATAATATATTTTGATGCCTAAATTGCATAAGTATAGAAAATATGCTCCATTAGGTAAAAATATGCAATTAAATTATATAAAATAACTAAGAAATGGGGTTTAAAAATATAATAATTTGAGACTTAACAAATACTCCCACACTTAGCCTTTGAACGTCCTCGTTCAAACTAAAACTTGAGAATCAATTTTTTTTCTTTGCTTGACATTAGAGCCCAAAATAATTCCTCAATCTCATAACAATCTAAAGTGATGCATGAAACATTAAACAGAAATTAACCATGTACCAAATAGAATAAACACTTTAAAATCAATTTGCTACTTTAAATTTTAAAACAATTCTTTTCCTTCAAAGCTAAGTAGAAATTATTTTTTTTAATGTCAAAACTTTAATATTAATTAAGGTCATTGAGAACAATTTAAAAGACATAAATAGAGCAGCAAAAAGTTGTTAGAAATCCTAAGAAACAATCAAGTAAAGAAAAGCTCAAGAAAATTTATTTTCTTTTCTAAAATTTCGAAACTTTTATTTATTGCTTTCATTTAATATTTTAATATTGATTGTTTGAGTTGACCCGTGTAGCGAGTCTCAACCAGGCTACCCCAGGCCCATTCCAGATAGTCCGAGACCTAAATAAACAAAGTATTCCAAGGGTATCAACTCAAGTTCTCAAACAATATTTTTATTCATTTTTTTTATTCTTTTTCCTATTTTACCTAGCCATTTATTGCCTTTTTTTTCTTTTTGGCTCAATGGCGTCGGTTATTCTCTTTTTTTTATCTAACTGGTTATGGACGAGATTCGTACGGCCCAAAACGGGGTTTGCTCTTCCAACTTAGGTTTTCTCCATACACATTATCACTTCCTTTTGGGATCTGTTGCTTAAGATGACAAAGGTGCCGTGCCACCCATGCCAACCTAAGATGGTGTTCCAGTATATATGTTATATTTATTTCAGCATCTTGATAATATATAGATAACCAAAATTCAAAAAAAGAAAAAGATTTCAAAAGATTTACTTTACTTGAATAGTAGCTTAGGACAAAAAGAGAGTTAAAAAAACTGCTCCATATATTTCTAAATAACTTGTGCACATTGACTTAACTAATTGAAAGGTATGAAATTAAACAAAAATAAATTCTAATTAACTTTGACTTAAAAGCAATGATTTAAAGTTTACAGTAGCAAACTCATTTTTAAAGAAATTCAAACATATTTGTTCCAAAAGTAATTTCAATTTAATGTAAAAAATGCAACGCTTAAGAGTGCTAAAAGATTAAAAGAAACTATTATGAACTCTAATTTTTCTTGAAATTCTCTTTTTCTTAACTACATTTTTATGCGAAAGATTATTGTTTTCTTTAAAAACTTTGAAAAAATTTAAACTTTTTAACCAAATTATATCTAAAATGCAAAAATTGACATGAAATAATTTTTTTTCTACCCAAAAAAAATCAGTAATGACAAAATGATTTTTTTTCGTTAACCAAACTCATGTTCCTCTAATGTGTAGCATCTGTATAAAAACATGCAGACAATTTTTTTTAAATATGCATAACTAAATGCAGAAGCATCCCCCCACACTTAAATCATGCAGTGTCCTCAATGCATCAAAAGATAAAGAATTAAATAAATGCGGCAAGAGGATAATCAGAAGCACACCATGCCACCTTGCCATCATAGAATAAAGCGTAGAAGAGAAGGGGCTGGGGAACCCAAAGCGACGCAAGAAGTGCAAGAAACAAGTACCAACACAAATTACCAGTGATGCTGAACTAAAAAAAAAATAAAGCTAATAAAAAGTAAAAAGGGATAGAGAAAACTTATTGACTGGGTTGCCTCCCAGGAAGCTGCCCTTGTTTAATGTCTTTGGCTAGACAGTAAATAAGTCAAGGATCCTGCAGAATGATGGTGTCAATTACACCCACCTGTTCCCCTTCATGATAAAGCTTCAACCTGTGACCATTAACTTTGAAAATTTTATCAGTAGCCGAGCTCCTAATGTCTACAGCTCCATGAGGGTAAACCTGTATAACTTCATAAGGTCCTAGCCATCTAGAAAATAACTTACCAGGAAAAAGTTTAAGTTTTGAGTTATAAAGTAAGACTTTGTCCCCAGTATTGAACTCTTTCCTACTCAACTTAGCATCGTGAAAAGCTTTGACTTTTCCTTTATAAATAACCGAATTATCATAAGCATCAAGTCTTAATTCTTCAAGTTCCTGAAGTTGCATTTTCCTTTCGGTTCCGGCTAAACCATAGTCCAAATTAACTTGTTTTACAGCCCAAAAGGATTTGTGTTCAAGTTCCACTGGTAAATGACAAGCTTTTCCATAGACCCCCTAAATGGTGACATACCTAATGGTGTTTTATAGGCAGTTCTGTAAGCCCACAAAGCTTCATCAAGCCTTTGGCTCCAATCCTTTCTATCCGGTCTCACTACCTTTTCTAGTATACCTTTTATCTCCCTATTTGATATTTCAGCTTGCCCATTAGTTTGGGGGTGATATGCAGTTGAAACTCTTTGAGTAATATGATATTTAGAAAACAGGGCATCCATTGTTTTGTTGCAAAAGTGTGTTCCCCTATCGCTTATCACAACTTTAGGGAAGCCATATCTCGTTAAGATCAATTTATTCATTTGAATTGCAACTGTTTTAGCATCATCTTCTCTTGTAGCTACTGCTTCTACCCATTTAGATAAATAATCCTCAAATAACAATATATATTGAAAACCAAAGGATGAAGGAAAAGGACAGATAAAGTCCATGCCCCATGCATCAAAAAGTTCACAAATAAAGATATTATGCAAAGGCATTTGGGCTTTGTTTGTTAAAGTTCCTGTTCTTTGGCATTTAGGACAAGCTTGACAAAAATTATAAGCATCTTTATGAATGGTTGGCCAATAAAAACCACATTCCAAAACCTTATGAGCAGTCCTCTTAGAACTAAAATGTCCACCACTCTCTAAAGTGTGACAAAAACACAAAATAGATCTAACTTTTGATTCATCAACACATCTTCTGAAAACTTGATCAGAACAAAACTTCCAAAGATAAGGTTCATCCCAAAGATAAGTTTTAGCTTGACTTCTTATTCTTTCCTTTACTTCCCTAGGCATATTAGGATGAAAGTCCCGAGTGACTAAATAATTAACTAGGTCTGCATACCAAGGTAAATGAGAGATTCCAAAAATATTTTCATCAGGAAAAAGTTCAGTAAAGGGGTCTTCATTTTCCTTATTGTGTTTGATCCTACTCAAGTGATCAGCTACCTGATTATTTCTTCCAGCTCTATCTTTTATTTCATACTTAAAATCTTCAATTAAAAGCATCCATCTGAGTAGTCTAGGCTTTGCGTCTTTTTTACTCATTAAATATTTTAAAGCTGAATGATCAGTATATATAGTCACTTTAACTCCTAACAAATATATTCTAAATTTTTCTAGACCAAAGACAACAGCATACATCTTTTTTTCTGTAGTAGAATAATTAACTTGCTCAGGTTGAAGAGTACAACTTGCATAATAAATCACATAAGATTGATTCCCTGATTTTTGACCTAAAACGACTCCCACTGCCCTATCACTAGCATCACACATTAATTCAAAAGGTAGTGCCCAGTTGGGAGGTTGGACTACAGGGGCTGTTATCAACTTTTCTTTCAATAAATCAAAAGCCATTTTGCATTTTTCATCAAAAATGAAAGAAACATCTTTGGATAACAAAGCAGTCAATGGAAGAGCTATTTTTGAAAAATCTTTAATAAATCTTCGGTAAAAACCAGCATGTCCTAAAAAGGATCTAACATCTTTTAATGTAGCAGGATATGGAAGTGTTTTAATGACATCAACTTTTGCAGGATCCACTTCCATCCCATTAGCAGAAACAATGTGTCCTAACACAACACCTCTTTCAACCATAAAATGACATTTTTCAAAATTCAAAACTAATTTAGACTCAATGCATCTTTGAAGAACCAAAGTCAAATTATGTAAACATTCATCAAAATTTTTCCCATAAACAGTAAAATCGTCCATAAAAACTTCCATTATTTTGGCAGAAAAATCAGAGAAAATACTCATCATACACCTTTGGAATGTTGCAGGTGTTGAAACACGGGCGTGTCACGTTTTCATACTAAAGCCGTGTTTGTTTTTGTAACAGGTTTTGATAATGCCAAACCGCCGTGATCAAGACAAACATTGAATATACAAGGCGAAGAACAAAGATAAAGAACAAGAGCTAAAAGAGACCAAGAACGAAGACCGCAGTCTTTAGTATTGTTGAGTCGGTCATTTGTAATCAAGACCGACCCAACCCTCACGCATTGGCTCTTTAGGCTAAAATCTTTTATCACATCATAAAAATGCTTTTCAAACTTGTTTAAGTCATTAAAAACACTTGGTGTTCGCCCGAACCAAAAACCAAGCCATCCAGCGTTCGGCTTTCAGAAACCAGCGTTCGGCTTTCGGTTATCGGCTTTGGTTTTTGGCATCCAAACCAACCAAGTGGTTTTCAGCATTTTATGGCCTGCTTTCACTCTTTGGCATGTTTAAACGGTTCTCCAACAAAAACACTTTGAAAACCATCTTTCGTTTTTGGTCGTTTGACAAAAACCACGCAAAACGGCGTAAACTTGACTAGCCGTGGTTTTTACTCAAATGACGTGGCTTTTAAAGTAACTCACTTGATTTCTTAGCCAAATACATCAAATAAGTGTTTCAAACACTTGGTTTTTATTTTGGAGAACTTTGGATTTTTCGGTCGGTTTTTGCATCGGTTGGCTAGGCCGTGGTTAAGGCAAAGACCATGGGTTTTTGGCTAACCACCCACCCAGCGATGGGAAGATCTTCCCATCGATGGGTAAGCGGTCCCTAAGCCAAACCAACTTCCAGAACCATGCCAAACAGCGATGGGGAGTTCTACCCATCGCTGTTAAAGCCTTGGTGCAACATTATCCCAAGGCAGAACAACCTTGCCCAACGATGGGAAACCTATCCCATCGATGGGAACCCAGCGATGGTGAGGTTAAACCATCGATGGGAAGGCATGACCGTTGGTAGTCATTTAAGGTTGATTGTTTCCTTGTTTGGAAGTCAACCTCCCACCCAGCGAGGACGAATTTGATGCCGAGGATATCAAAAAGGTGGAGAACTACGCCAAGGCAATCAACATGCTGTACTGTGCAGTCAATCCTGATGATTATCGCAAGATCTCTTGCTGCACCACTGCAAAAGAAATGTGGGACAAGCTGGAGGTCACATATGAAGGTACGGACCAAGTTCGGGAAGCCAAAATTGACTTCCTAACGCAGGAGTACGAGATGTTCAGGATGAAGGAAGGCGAAAAGATCGATGATATGTTCGATCGGTTTTCAAAGATCATCAAGGACCTTCATGCACTCAAGAAGACTTACGCTAACAAGGATCTTGTGAGGAAAATCCTGAGGAGTCTCACTCCCGAATGGAGATCAAAGGCTGACGCAATCTACGAATCCATCGGAGTCTCCAACGTCACCATCGACGGGTTAAGAGGTAACCTCAAAACTTATGAGTCTACTATTCTAACCCCGTCTTTGGATGAACAAAAGAAGAAGGGAATAACACTGAAAGCAACCAAGGAGACCGTGGAAGTTGACTCAAGCGATGATGACAACGAGTTCGGACTTGTCATCAAGAATTTCACAAATTCATGAAGAAGGAATTTGAACGGAAAGGAAGAAAGCACGACGGTCCCCCAAAGTGCTATGGCTGCGGCGAGATAGGCCACATCAAGCCAAGATGTCCAAAAGGCAAAAGCGGCAAGGACAAACCTGGCTTCAAAAAGCAATGAGCCTATATCTCATGGGGTGGCGACTCCGGCGACGAGTCAACTGATCAAGAAGAGGAGGAAGCCGCCAACCTCTGCCTCATGGCGCACGAAGATCAAACCGACGACGTTCAAGAGGTATGTACCCCTTCTTCCGACTCTTACACTCTTGAAGAGATGCAAGAAGCTCTTCGAGAACTTTATGATGAATTTGTTAGCGTTTCTAAAACCAACAAATCACTAAAGAAACTTCTTTCAACCCTTGAAAATGATTTTGAAAAACTGGAAAAAGATAATGAAAAATTGAAACAAGAAACAAATTTTATGGCAAAAGAAGCGCTGACAAACCAGAAAGTTCTTCAAGTGAATGTGAATCTTGCAAAACTTTAAAAGAAAAGGTTGCAAAACTTGAGAGTACGGTTAAGAAGTTTAATACACCACACAAGGATCTTAATTTACTCCTAGACACTATGCATTTTTCTAAGGAAGGAATAGGTTTTGATAAAAATGAATCTAAGGACAAAAACGTTGAGCAAACACCTAGACAACCTCCTAAGGCTCAACATAAGAAAGTTAAAAATCAGGAAAATAGAAAATCTAGTCAACCTAGGAACACTAGAAAACCTAGACAAAAACCTAGGAGTGAAAATGTGCATGCTAGACAACCTAGGAAAAATCATCAAAATGATTTTGTGCATAAAAATAATTTTTCAAATAGACAAAATAATTCTAGGACACCTAGAAGGGAAAATTTTCAAAAACCAATGTTTTCTCAAAACAGGATGAATATGGTTAGGCCCCCTAGCAACTACTACCAACCTAGGAGGATGCACAACCCAAACGTAGTGTGCCATTATTGCAATAGGATAGGACATATAGCTCCCGTTTGCTTTACTAGGCATAGGCATTGGGCACAAAACGAATCACACTACCACTTTGCACCTAACACTAAAGGACCCAAAAAGACTTGGGTACCTAAATCTTATTAAATCATCTTTGTAGGTATGCTTGAAGGCTTCAAGTGTACTGTGGTACCTTGACAGCGGATGCTCCAAGCACATGACCGGAGATGCATCTAAGTTCCTACAAATCAAACCCGCTAAAGGAGGAAACGTAGTCTTTGGAGATAATAGCAAAGGGAAAATTATTGGCGTCGGTTCAGTAGGTAAGTCCGAAGACTCCTCTATAGATAATGTCTTGCTAGTCAAAGGTCTTAAACACAATCTCTTGAGCATAAGTCAATTATGTGACAAGGGAAACCATGTGACCTTCGATTCAAAATCATGCACTGTAGAACGCCTTAGTGACAATAAGGTCATTCTACGTGGTGATAGAATCGATAACATATATATGGTTAACTTAGACAAATCTCCTTCCGGCTTTGCTAAGTGCCTCATGAGTAAAGAGGAAGACACTTGGCTATGGCACCGAAGAGTAGCTCATATGAACATGAACCTTTTGAACAAATTGGTATCACAAGACTTAGTAATTGGCATTCCAAAACTTAAGTTTGAAAAAGACACCATATGTGATGCATGTCAAAAGGGGAAGCAAGTTCGGGCTTCATTTAAGTCTAAGAACGTTGTTTCAACGTCTAGACCGCTTCAACTTTTGCATATGGATCTCTTTGGTCCTTCTAGAACAAAGAGTTTTGGTGGCAATTACTTTGCGTTTGTGATTGTCGATGACTACTCTAGGTTTACATGGACCTTGTTTCTAACTAATAAAAGTGAGGCATTTCACGTTTTCAAAAATTTCTTAAAGAAAGTTCAAAATGAAAAAGAAACAACCATAGTAGCCATAAGAAGCGACCATGGGGGAGAGTTCGAACGAAATCTGTTTTCAGATTTGTGTGACGAACTTGGCATTGATCATAACTTCTCAGCCCCACGTACACCACAACAAAATGGAGTGGTGGAACGTAAAAATAGATGTCTCGAAGAGATGGCTAGAACTATGATCAATGAGGCAAAAATCCCTAAGTATTTTTGGGCGGATGC